AAAAAAAAAGAATGATCGCCCGGCTACCGCAGATGTTGCCTGTTCGGTTCAGCACTTCGTAATGGGTGGGTGCCAACTTTACTTTTACAGTATTTCATTTTTGTTTGGCTTGCACCTGAAGATAACTGTGTCAATATAGAGTTAAAATCCACCTGCCTTACTTTTTCTCTGCATTAAATAAATGATAATATACTGTAATTGTATCGATGTGTGTGTGTCTTTACTATGATGAACGAACTGTATGCGCCCAACAGAATGTTTAATTTAAACTAAGAATATAATACTGTCCAATCTTTCATTGCAATTTGTATTATTTCTCTTGTCAGGATTACACCATCACCATGTACCTGAATCAGTACTGGCGCGACGAACGCCTTCAGTTCCTGGACAATGACACGCTCGACAATCTGGATAACAACACCATCAAAGCCATGACCTTGACCGGAGCCTTCGCAGAGAAAATCTGGGTACCGGATACGTTTTTAGCTAATGATAAGAATTCATTCCTTCACGACATTACAGAGAAGAATAAGATGGTTCGTCTCTATGGCAACGGCTCCTTGGTGTATGGGATGAGGTAAGGCTTTTGCTTGTCCTCTTTGTGCTTATGTGTGCTTAAAAGGATTATTTTTTCTAGAAGCTCCGATGATTGATGATCAAGTGCAATACCGATAACTTTTTTTTATTTGGAGCATCGTATGATTGTATTGGGTTTGGGCTTTAATTACAAGTAGGCCTACGTTTTACATTGTTCTCATAATACAGAGGTTCAGGGACTGTTGTTTTACAGTAGTTTTGACACAGCCAGCTGAAGGCGAAAAAAAACTTCATATTTAAAACTTTTATGTTATTTATATGTATTGACGTCTCATTCGCACTGAGAAAATCAAGACCTTGCGAGATTCATGCAGAAACTTTCTTATTTCCCTAATAAGTGGAGAAGAAGCCCAAAAAAAATCAGATTGAACTTCATATTTCTGAATGGATTTCCTTTTAATCAGACTTTTCGAGACTCTCATACTTGATTGTCTTTTCTCTTTCTTTTTTCTTTTTTTTTTTTTTTTTGTTGTTGTTGCTGAAAACACATGTTGAAATCAATATTTGCATATTCAAACAATATGATACCAAAACGTGACGACATGCAAACTGAGAAAGGGTTTCCAACCATCTACCCAGTTTCATGGTGACAGGCTGCAAGGCATGTAGCCAAGCCTTGTTTGGGTCCTTCAGTTGCTGTGGTCTCAAATTGTAAATAGGCCTGTCGCAGGTTGCCGTTGTCATTGTTGTTGTTGTTGTCGCTCTTGTTGTCGCTGTTGTTGTTGTTGTTGTTGTTGTTGTCGATCTTGTTGTCGCTGTTGTTGTTGTTGTTGTTGTTGTTGTTGTTGTTGTTGTTGTCGCTCTTGTTGTCGCTCGTGTTGTTGTTGCTGTTGTTATAAATAATTCTAAAAGAAAAATATCTTTGGATTCGGACTAGGCGAGCAATGAGCATTGAAACCTTTTCTCGCTTACCGCTCTCCTGTGGGCTTTACAGAGTACCAATTTTTAAAAATTCTACAGCTATTCTTTGTAGGGAGGGAGGCGGGGGCTGTCGGTTGTAAACTGGTAAAAGAAGATACAAATATACTAAATGTATCGGTGGGACGCCTCCGTTTTAGAGGGCTAATGTTTGTTCTCAAGTATGTCTAGGCTCTAATGCAGTATCGATTGAATTTAGAAGGTCATGTGTGATCGTTACTTTAGAATTGCATCGGCAAATGTTCCAACACGAGGCAATAAACTTTTCTTTTCTTTTCCTTTTTCTGTGCGAGTGCTGAAAAAAAGGGGGGGGGGTAGGAGGAGTATTTGACTTTTTGTAATATTGTATCGGTAAGATGTTGTATACTTCGTGTCGCAGAGGCTAGTATAAAAGCATTCCGTTATAAGTGGTAGTATTCAAACAATGGAAGATTAATAAATAATTATATCAATCTTGTCTTGTCTCATCTTACCTCATAATATCTATTTTGTAAATGTTCTGTTGGTTCCAGGTTTACCACCACTCTGGCGTGTATGATGGATCTACATAACTATCCTTTGGATCACCAGCAGTGCACTGTGGAAATAGAGAGCTGTGAGTACTCGCGTCTTATTTGCAAAGAAAATACACTACAAGATGATTTACTATTTAATAAAAACTAGCGTCTTCAGAAATCGACTTGCATTTTTGTAGGTGTCACAAAATTGTGAGTGTCGTCTGAAGGGGTTGTAGGTAGACCTACCTAAGCTTCATTTTAACTTTTACCACCGGAAACCCTTTTTTATATTCCTCCTCCTCCTCTCAATCCCGACCACAAAAAACCCCGAAAAAGTGGAAGTCTGCGTCTCTGCCTGTTTGCCTATCTCCTTGTCTGTCACATTTGTCAATTATGTATTGTTTCTGACATATGTTTGAAACCTAATTGTTCTAATCAAAACCGAGGGTAAAGGTGTTGTAAACCTTTTGCCCGTCGTATCGTGGGATTTATTGCACTTTTCTTTAAGTACCTAATGCCTGCAACACATTGAAACAGTCTCTTTAGTTGTAATAACCAGTGCTTTAAAATTTTAAATTATACTTTGTACTTTGGTAAGATTCTACAGTGAACAATCACCACCGACCCATAACGTTTATGTTTGACTGGGAGCGGAAAAGTAACAGATGACTGAAGAAACCTCTAAAACTAGCTCCTCTACTCCTCGTTCTGCTCCTATTCCATCGGAAGACGCATTCCAACTTCACCCCCCC